TCCCTGATATGTCACCATTCACTGGGGTGATCAGTCCCTGGTGGCAGGTTGATTATATTGGACCACTTCCATCATGGAAAGGACTGCACTTTATCCTTACTGGCATAGACACTTATTCTGGATAAGGATTTGACTTCCCTGAATGAAATGCTTCTGCCAAAACCACCATCTCTGGTCTTACTGAATGCCTTCTCCACCATCATGGAATTCCACCCAGCCTTCCCTCTGACCAGGGAATACATTTTATGACGAAAGAAGTGAGGCAGTGGGTTCGTGATTATGAAATTCTCTGCTCATACCAAGTTCCTCACCACCAAAAGCATCTGAGTTGATAGGAAAGTGGAATGGTCTTTTGAAGACACAGATACAGTCTCAGCTGGCTGGCAGTATCTTGCAGGGCTGGGGCAAGGTTCTTTAAAAGGTAGCATATGCTTTGACTCAGTATCCACTATATGACACTATGTCTCCCATAGCCAGCATTCACAGGTCCAGGGATCAAGGGGTGGAAGTGGGAATGGTACCATTCACCATTACCCCTACTGATCCACTTGCAAAATCTTTGCTTCCTGTTCCTGCACCCTGGCATAGGTACTTATTAGAAATTTTAGATCCAGAGAGGGGAAGGCTTGTATCAGGAAGCACAACAATGATACCACTGAACTGGAAGTTAGATTTCCCTGGTCATTTTGGTCTCCTCATGCCTCTGAGGAAACAAGATAAAAAGGGAGTTACAGTGTTTGCAGGGGTGACTGACCCAGACTATTGAGGGGAAACTGGACTATTACTCCACAATGCAGGAAAGGAAGCATATACTTGGAGTGCAGGAGATCCCTCAGGTCACCTCCTAATAGTACCATGCTCTATTATGTCAATGGGAAACTACAATAACCAATCCAGGCAGAATGACAAGTAGTCCAGAACCTTCAGGAATGAAGGCATGAGTCACTCCACCAAGGAAAGAGCCAAGACCTGCAGAGGTGCTTTCTGAATGCCAAGGGAATACAGAATGGGTAGAATGGGGGAAAGTAGTTCTAAATACCAGGTACAACCTTGTGATCAGCTACAGAAATGAGAATTGCAATTGTAATAGTTCTGTCCTAATATGGTTCCAATATAATATGCCAATAGACTTAATATTGGTTCTTAAGTATTGTTAAATTATTGTTAGTTATAAGGTTCAAGTTATGAAATGTTAGAAGTAAGCATCACATACAAAGTAAACTTGCCTTCTCTTCTGGGCAGAGAAATAGTGCATTTTCATTTGTGTGCAGAATAGTTATAACATGTTAGGAGTAATTATGAAGTTCTTGGTATCTGAAGACTAAGGTTTAAAGAAATGTGGCTGGTGGTCAAGTTGACAAGGGGTGGATTTTGATAGTTAGTTGATTGTGTCAACTTGAGGAAGAAATGCCCAAATTAATTTCCACAGCATAGTTCTGGGTATGGAAGACCCACCCTAGGGAGGATTGTTGCCAGCATGGTACAAAAGGAAAAAAGAGAAGGAGAGCTTGCATCTATTTCTGCAGAGGAGCTTCAGTCTTCACCCTCACCTTGCACTTGGACATTGTCTCCTGGCTTCCAGTGCAGGCTCTTCAGCATTCCATCAAAGACCATTTGGCCTCCTGATACAAACTCACACAGGACACTACACTGAGGTCCAGGCCTTCAGCTGAATCCTTTGTGTGCTGTATGCAGACAGCCGTTATGCATTCTTCCACACCTGACTCTGTGGGCAGCCATTGTAAGCTAATGTTGTAAATTCTTACACATGCGTGTGTTTTGCATTAAATCTGTTTCCCTGGTAAGCACTGACTGATACAAGTACAATTTCACAGACCATTCCTATAAAAAGCATGAAAAGTGGAGTGAGATCTCTCATGCTTAGGTTTTGTTGTCTCTTTATCTCTGGAAAACCCTGGAAACTAGGATATTTTGAGTTGCCCATGAGATAAAAGGAAATGATGTTATTGATGATCCTGTCTTCCGATCCCCACCTGTATCTCAGGTGGATATGGTACCGCTCATCTGTTTAATAAAGACATCCACAACGGGAGGTCTCCTTGACCTCTTCTTCAGGACAGTAAATCAGTCCCGCTCCCTTCAAGTGACTCAGGATCTCCTCCAGAGCATAACATCCCAGAGGAACTCGATATTCTCCAGCCCCTTGTCAAGATCCTCAGGCAGTTTTAAGATTCACAGGATGTACTGGAGTGGTGCTTCCTCTTGTCACAATTGGTAATACTTTAAAGACATCCAAGGTGCCTAAAGAAAACCCCAAGAGTGCTTGAGAAAAAAGTTCCTTTTTAACTGCAGGAAGACTGGACACTGGGCACATAACTGTATCAAGCCATAGCCCAGGCCCTACTCCAAGGGTCAGGCAATGTGCCTGATTCACAGCACTGGAGGTTAGGCCAGTCAAAACCCCCACCACCCACCCTGACAAACACTGAAGGCACCTGGGAAAACGTGCAGTACCTTTGGCCGCAGGTGTCGAGGGACCTTGAGTGTTCCTGGACAAACTCAATTATTCTGTCTCAATTCCCTTCTCTTAAAAAATCACTCTGCTAGACTCATAGCCATAATTGAGGTCAAGGGTAACCCTAGTTAGAGCTTATTTATACCATTCTAATATGTCCATTCAAATGTCCGATGTACCAAAAGTCACTTCCTGGTGCTGATGTCCATGCAACAATCTAAAAGGGGGAGTTGCTAGATCAAATCCTAGACGTAATCTATCTTCCCAGACAGGTCACTGTTATTCATTGTAAGGAAAGGCTGACAGGAAAACAAGTAGGGCAGTTCTGCAGGCCCTCAAGACCCTAGCTCTCTTTCCAGTTCCTAAAGAGCCATTCTCATACTTCCTCCAGAAACACAGTGGCAAACTAAAAACTAAAACAGAAACCCTACATGAGAAATAATCTTTCAAATCTTCACAGGACTAAGACTCTACTCCTGTGAACCACTGGAAGATCTGAGGCTGCTCTTCAAGAAAACAAGACTCCAGATCAGATTTGAGGACAGATCGGTAGAGTCACCATAAATACATATCAGTAGCAAATCTAACATCCATATTATCCACAGTCTCCTGACTTGTTTACCTACAGCACCCCTCTTCCAGTGCCACATATCAGCAAGAAGTCAGTTCTCATCACTCCCTGACAAGTGTCCCTCAGACTAGCCAGTGAGCAATATTATTCTAAGGTAGTTAAGAAGTACATAATCCCCAATAGGTAGGGGCTACAGTCCCTTTCTGCCAGAAGTAGCTGCATGAAAACCAAGACCTCCACTCCCTCAACAACCCATAAAGAATTATGGGGATTTATATCTCTCAGGGAAAATGAGGCAGGAGACTACAGCATGGCAGTCTGGCTGGAAAACAGCATGTAATCTGTCAATCATGAAGAAGTGGAACAAAGGGTAAATAACAGGAGGTAACCTGTCAATCACAAAGATCCAGAATGGAGGTTGAACCACAGCATGTGAACTTTCTATCAGAGATGGGTACCTGGGCAGGGCGACTTTGGACAGACTGGGTCTAAGAGGGTGTGAAAGATGGTGACCATAGACTTAGGGCCACTGTCATCTTCCTCTTCTGCTGTCTTCCTGTTTCTGCAGTGGCCCACCCTGTATGCAGAATATACTTTCAGTTTTCCTGCATTCCTCTTTCTCTCTACCTTCTCCTTTTTATTCTTTTGCTTTAAATAAAAGTTCCTTTTTTCTCCTACTTGAAATAAAACTTACATTTACCTGTTCATCAGTTGTCCCAGACAATTCTTTGGGTGGGACAGAAAGAGCCTGGAACCATTGGGACACCTCACCATCTGGCAACAACCCCACTTCCTTAAGTGGTTTTGATACAATAGTTTCCTGTTGGCTCAGCAGCAGATGGCTGACCTTTAGCAGAGGATGGAAAGGATACTGGAGACTGCCGAGCTGTGGGAGGATAGAAGAACCAAACTAAAGAGTTATTTTACAAGATCACAGTGAGGCATCCCCACACACAGGAAGATGTCATGGAGAATTACAAGAGTGACCAACAAGAGACACTGAGATGGGTGTGCTCGAGGTTAGTCCCTGTCAGCAATGGGAAGCCTAGGATAGCGCTCAGAAGTCAGTGACACCAGATCTTCTCTAAATCTCCTATCCTTCTTCTTCATCTCACACTAGTCAGAGGAAGATGGGGAGAAGCAACATTAGAGTAACTGACCATCTGGTGAGCCTGTTGTGTCCCTTGGGCCACCATAGAGGGAGAGGAATATAGTAATTCGCTGAATATGAGACAGAGTTGGACCTGACTGAATTGCACTTATTAGACCCAGAGTGACTGAAAAAGGGGTGTTTTCAAGATGATGCTAAGGAGATGGGATCCCAGTAGAACATGACTGAATACATGTGTTAGAGAAATGTAAAGACATGTCATATTTGTGGCATACAATTTTTAGGGTGTTCTGTAAATCTAATTCTATTTCTGGCCTCACTGTTGCAATAGAGCTTGCATTGTTCATCAGAACACTGTGAAATTTAGTGCATAGAACATGGGTATATTTCACAAAGAGTTCTGATAACCAGTATTCTGATTTTCATAATCTGACTCACATTAATTCACTGGTTATAAAATAATTCATTAGTCATCTTACTTGCAAGGCTACTTTCTGTCACTTTGGGGGTTTTTTGCAGTACTTGGGATCAGACTCAGGACCTTGCCCTCAGGAGGCAGGCACTGGGCCACGGAGCTGAGTCCCTGCCCCTCTTTTCACCATTTTTGTAGCATCTTCCCGATGGTGGTAGATTTTCTTTTAGTTTTGTATGAAATGAAAAAAAGTTTGATAAAACAACTTTGAAGAATTTGCTAATGCTAAACAGCCTTTTATTTTAGAACTTTCATTTTTTAAGAGACAACAATTTACAGTCTTACTCTCAAGTATTAAAAAGAATAAAATGTAAAGCAGTTTTCCAAGTGATCCATCGTTGTTAAGAACCGTTTCCACAAGAGAAGGAATGGATATAGGGTTAACACTCAAAAGATTCAGCAAATTGGCACAACAACCACTTGAGATAACCACCAACCATACGGAAATCCCCAAACAAGCATCGGAGCAGATTATAAGTAGCAAACAGGCGAGTGATTTTATCAGCTGATTGCAGGGATGGAAGTTCTGTCCAGACAGCATAGTCCACTTTGCTTGTGATTTCAGGATCAAACTAGCATCAAAAGACAAATACTTATTACTCATATTAGTATGTTTTAATCTTTGTTTCCTTCAATTGTTCAATTAAGATTTGGGGAAGAGATAGTAATGTAAAACTTTAGCTAAAGGCATAAGTTTTTGTGTATTCTGGCCAGGATATCATAAAATTGTTAGCCATCTAAAGGCTAAGAGAAGAACACATATATTATTTTTCTGCCATGCAAGTGATCGTGGGGAAAGTACGTTCCTTCATGAATAGACAGGCTGACAGCCAGAAATTGGCTACTTAATATATACGTGATATAACCAAAGGGCAATGGAGAGGCTACCTCCCATTCTCTCACTTAAGGAACTTTAGCATTTCTTGAAACATCCTTGAGGTGCCCTCTGTATTCTATTTCTTCTGTTACATCACCATTTATCTTTTGTTTACTTGGACCCAAATCTATTATCTATCTTACATCCATACAAAAAAACTTAGACATGAAAAGGACTTCACTTGATGCTTTAAGGTACAGATACTGAAGCCAGAATGAATTAAGATCAGAAGTTTCACATTCTATCAAAGAAATGTACCTCCCAGCTTTCCATGAGAACCTGCTACCTTTTTTTTCAGTCCACTGGAATTAGAGTTGATGGGAACTGAGGTTATGAAAAGAAGGGTCATAGCAGCAACCCCTGGTGGTGACAGCCACAGTGGAGTTGGGGAGAGTCTGGTGCAAAAAAGCGTTGCATTGTGTGAGGGAGGAAGCACAAAATCCCTGTGCCCTCTAAAGGCCTCTGTAAACTGTGAGTCCTCAGGGATTTCAGAGCCCAGTGACCATCATGGAACCCTAAATGTGTCAGCTGATTTCATGAGCTACCAGGTACAAATCTAGCTTAATTGTAGACCCTGGCCAGCAGAATTCTAGGTCACAGAGAATACTTTTTAATGAAATTTGAAGTGGATGCGTGTGTGTGTTACCTTTATTTCTGCTTCATATTTTTTACTTCTCCTGCTTGAAGTACAAGACAAAATTTACTGTGCAATTATCATGATGTGAATGAGAATATATAAGTATAGGAAAAAAGGATCAGAAAATGTAATATAATAGAATAAACTGTGTCCTTAGAAAGTCAGCTCACAATAATTAAAAAAATAGAAAATTAAGGTGTTCATCTCCTATATTCCTAGGTTAATATGCTTTTTGTATTTATTTTGAAGGTAGTCTTTTCTTATAAAAATGAGAAAATGACCACACCAACATGTTCTTAGGACAATAATAAAAATATAAAATTATTTCTTTTATTTTTGTAATCATATATTATTGTTCAGATGGTACATTATTTCTGGGAAGTTTATAAATATCTTATCTGTTTTCTAACATTAGCATTGTCCTATATGAATGGAGATACATAATAAAATATTAATTCAATCTAAAATGAATTTTCATTTAGAAACATGAAGGAAAACAAAATGTATGCTCACTTTCTATAAATTATAAAATGAGAAACATTCCAGGAGAGATATCTCTTCTTCTGAGATAAGCACTATAAACTCATGTTTGTGGGACGTGACTGGTGCTATGGGCTCCTCAGTATCCTCTGTGTAGTGGCTAGGGTGGGGGTGCAGTCCAGGCTAATTCTGATTTTCTCCTTACTCCCTTCCTACTCTTATCCCCTGGTGCAAGAACAAATGGAAAAGTATCTGGCTAGAATTCTTCTATTGTGTCCTGATATAATTGAAGGAAGCATTTGTCTTGCAGGCACTCCTCTGATTTTCTTTCCCTGGAAAATATTTAACCACCCACCACATGAAGAAACAAGTCTTCAGTATCTTTGTAGATATGCAGGAAGGCACACCTGTCAACAAAACCATTCTAAGATGCACTTATCTTAGAATCTTAGAATCTTCCCAGGAGATGGCCAAGGGCCCTGCTTTGTTTAATAGCAGACTATGAGAAGGAATGTGGAGTTGAAATGTTTTCTGTGCAAAGTGAGAAATTTCAAAACGTTTCCCATCACAGTGGGGACCTCTTTAATAAAACACCAAGGAAGCATCTGAAGGCACTTACCTGGATGACTACATTATTCATGAGTTCTTGAAGATGTCGGCTTTGATTGGCAATACGCTCAGCTTCATGTCTGATGTGACTACTATATTCTGGCAGGCGATGTGCTTCACTAGCAAGATGCAACAAGGGTTCATTCCAGGAATGCAGCAAGCGGACCACAAATCTGAAGTCATCTGCATACTAAGCACCAAAGTTGGAGAAATCACATAAAAATAAGTGAGATATACCAGGTTAGTTACATGTTGCTTTGGCTCAGAAAGACTTAACTAAAATATTTCTTTGTCATTCGTGTGTGTGTGCAAAATTTTTCTGTAAAAGATAGAGTAAAAAAGTATAATTTAAGCCATTGATATTGATTTTATTACAGTAAAAAAAGAAACAAAACTGGCTTATGGAAATATATATTTTCTGAGAGTTGTAAACAATAAAATTGAAATTTGTTTTCTCTCTGAAATCCCATCTGTTAATTTGTAATCAAGTTAAATGTGTGTCTATCCAGGGAATCCAAAGAGAGAAATTACGAGGTAAAAAACTGGACCTTTGATAAATACTTAAGGCTTGACATGTAGGTTTTACGGTCATCAGAGCGAGACCAGGGTTGAATCTGTCAGAATTGTGACATAATACAGGACATACACAGTGGTTCAAGAGTGGCTGAAGAGTGATTGAAGAGTTAAAAGGCAGTATCAGAGAAGCTGAAGCAGAAATAGGAGAGTCTTGAAACTACAAGAGATGTCTCAGATCAGGCACTAGTCAGTAATGTAAAAAAGTTGCCAGTGCAGGAGTCACTAGTAACCTGTTATAAATAAAACTACATCTGCTTTTCTTACATATTTACATGAATGTGCAATTGATTTCTACTTTCCCTGCAGTATAATACATTCAATCACAGATTCAAAAGGCTGGTTAAAACATTATTTCAGCTTGAACAATTTATGGATCTAGCACAAACTGTGTAGATTTGTCTTTGTGTATACTTTATTGCCTACATCATATAATTTTTCTTTGCTTGCTTTCTCTTTCTCCATCTTTCTGCACAGGTGTGATTACTGCTAACCTTGATCACAGAACCTCTGAGACCACAGCCACTGCCTCAGCTGTTCTAGTGGAGCTGGGTGGGGGACTCACCTCTATCTTTGAGGGACGTATACTGTCATCTGGAAGAGTGATGCCAGCTGTGTGGCACCTTCTGATGGCTGGCATAAAGAAGAATTTGTTCCTGGAATAGTAGTGTTCCTGGAAAGATTGGAGAAAATCCAAGTACTTGATAAAACAAATCTATTGCCAGAATATTGGTACATTACATGGATGTGTGACTTTTTAAAGTGAGAGCTACATAAAAGCTGAAACTAAAGAAATAAGTAACACATTTGCCTCTTTTTCATTGACTCTATAATTTCATTGTTTTTCACCTGACTTTTCTAACCTCCTCCCTCTTCCTGTCTTTCTCATGCTGTTGCTTTCTCACTCTTCCTAGGAGTTGTTATCACTTGGATTGCAAACACTTAGAATAGCATAACTACAAAAGTGTAAGTGAGTATCATTTTCTCTGCTCTTTGTGCCAAATGCCATGATGCATATGCATCTACATTCACCTATTTAATCTCTTGCTTTCTGATATTCTTCTCCTTAAATAGATGATAAATCCACACACCTGTATCTTGTGAGGTTCAGCATAGATTCAAAATAAAATTGTTATTGTGACAGAATAAGTCATAGAACAGTGAAAAACATTTCAAGAAATTCTATGTAGGATTGAGATTAAAAATCAAAAGAAACACAGAGAGATTAGTATTAGGCAAAAGTGGTGAAAGTTGAAGGGATTGCTAGGAAGATTTGGAAGATTAAAGATGGCTGTGGTGGAAACAAACCTGTCAACATTTTTGGTGTGAATGTAAACTAGTACAGCCACTGTGCAAAACAGTATGGAGATGTCTCAAAAATCTAAATGAGGAAATTCCAGTTGATCAAGCTATTTCCCTCCTAGCTGTCTTCTCAAAAGAGCTAAAGATGCCATATTAGAGCCATACACACATACCAATTTTATAGCAGCACAATTAATTCATAATATCTAAATCTTGGAATGAGCCCATATGTGCATCAACAGATGAGTGGATAAAGAATGTAAAGTGTCTACAATGCTGAAAGGAAATTCAGCTATAAGGTAATATAAATTTGAGACACTTGTAGGAAAATGGATACACGTTGGAAACATAATGTTAACTGAAATTATTGAGGCACACAAGTTTAAATACCATACGGTTTCTCTTGTTTTAGTTATCCAAAGTACAAATAAAGAGCAAACTAAAATACTAACAAGAGGAATAAGGTGATAGCTCTTTTGCAAGTGGAAAGGGGACCAAGTGACTAAAGGGAGGGGGAGGGAGGAGGAAAAGGGGACATAAAAATTTAAAATGTGTCATGTACATGTACAAATTACCTTCAACGTGTGTAATCATTATATGTGGCAAACATGAACTAAAAATAATAGTAACAATAATAATGAAAATGGGGAAAGAGCATCTGGAAACAGAGGGATGTAACTGAGTAGTGAAAAGGGTACTAAAAAGAATCAAGATGTTTTAAGCACATGTACCCACTCCTTAAGATGAGCATCAACATCATGTACTGTGGACATGGATTAATAAAAGAAGGATGGCCTTTGGAAAGTAGGAAATAAAAGAACATGAGGTGAATTTTTAAAATGGGATGATACACATTAATTAAAACACTGGGCCATGTTCTCGATGGAAGCCATTTATGATATTAAGAGCTAGTCTGGCCAGGGACTTAGCTCAGTGGTTTTGCGCCTGCCTCACAAGTTCAAGGGCGCGAGTTTGATCCCCAGTACCAAAAAAGAAAAAGAGCTAGTCTGTTCTCTACCAGGTCACTGACCTGGAATATATAACAGCCAGATTTCAATGTAACTTTATACAAAAAGACTGAACCTGGCCTAGAAAAGAACTAGCCAGGTCCCCAAACCAAAGCTAGATCTGCCAAATACCATTGGTAAGTCTGTGCCACCCCAGCCAGAAGCCAGCTCAGACACCTGTGACTCAGGTGCACAGCTCCCAGCCAAAGGTCCTCCCAGACAACAGCTACACAGGTGGCCCAGCCCCAGCCAGAGGCATGCCCATATATCATTACAAATGTGCACAGCCCCCTGCCAGAACCCCACCAGGACAAAAGCGCACCACAGGGATCCAGAAGGTGACCATTCTGAACCCAGGAATTGGTGCAGTGGTGAGTGGCAGACAGAAGGCCTCGACGATGCTTGCTAAGAATTAAAGACCAATGGGCTACAAATAGTCCCCTCAAAAAAAGCAGGCTGCATCTGTTGAAATGAAAAGACATGTAAACAAGACTCAAAACCAGACTTCCAGATCACCAAAGGCAACTCCAAGGGGCAACAAGATGGAACAATCTGATACTCAACTACCTGGATTCACAGAATTGGCAATGAAAGGAGATCTGGAAAAAGTAAAATGAGAAATTATTTCTCAGATTACAACAGACATTTTGTCCATAGTGACAAACATGATTATTAACTCTAGATAGACACAGATTAAAAAATAGAGGATCTGAGAAACATAATCGAATCCAAGCAGAGGAAAAAAATGGAATTCATAAAACTGATGCAAACAGATATCCAGGAGATAAAAAGCTCCATTGAAAGTTTATGAAGCATAATGTGTCAAAGTGAGGGCAGAATATCAGATATAGAAGATAGTTTTGCAATTAGTGACCAGGAAAAGAAAAATTCCTTAAAATACAAAGGGACCACAAGAAATCAATCCAACAGCTGCTAGATGTTGCAAAGAAGAATAACATAAAACTGATCAGAGTCAATGAAGAAACAGCCGAGGGTGCAAATGACATAGAAAAAAACTGTTAACAAAAGTAATGGCAGAAAAGTTCCCAAACAAGGGAAAACAATTTAACATAGAGATAAGTGAGGCTTATATGATTCCAACTAGCCATGGTCAAAAAAATCTACAACTAGGCATATAGTAGTTAAGATTCCAGAAACCCAACAGAAGATCAAAATTCTACAAGCAGTTAAAGAAAAGAAACAAATCACATACAAAGGAAAGCCCATCAGAATCACAGCAGACCTCTCCACTCAAACCCTCAAGGCAGGAAGAGCTTGAAGTGATGTATTTGAAGCCCTAAAGGAAAAGAGCCTCCAACCAAGATTGATGTACCCTGAAAAACTATCTTTCAAAATTGATGGAGAAATGAGATAATTTTGTGACAAGGAGCACCTGAGTAACTTCATGAATACTAAAACAGCACTCCAAAAAATATTAAGCAATATTCTAGGAAAAAACAATGAGGATCACAACCCCAGGAAGTCCATCAGAATGAATCCATCAGGCAAGAAAAGAAATTAAATGCAAAGGGAGAGAATACAACAAAAAATATCCTGAAAAGGATAAGTCAATAAGTCAGATATATCCATCAATGTTACTGATCTCAATTCACCAATCAAAAGAAATAGACTGGCAGAATGAGTCAAGAAGCAAAATCCAACAATATGCTGCATACAAGAAACACACTTAATTCAGAAAGAAACTCCTAGACTGAAAGTTAAAGGGTGGAAAACAATACTCCATGAAATAGGAACCTTAAAAAAGCAGGAGTAGCCATCCTATTTGCAGATCAAATGGATTTCAAACCAACACTATTTAAGAAAGACAAAGAGGAACAATACATGCTTATAATGGAAAGAATCCAAGAGGAAGAGATAACAATCATGAATATATATGCACCAAATACTAGTGCACCAAACTATAGAAAACAAATACTAATGGATATGAAAAATCAAATAACCACTAATACAATAGTAATGGGGGACCTCAATACCCCACTGTCAAAAATAGAGATATCAACTAGACTAAAAATAAACACCAAAACACAAGAAATCAACCAAACTCTTGAACAAATGGACTTAACAGATGTTTGCAGAGTGTCCCACCCCACAAAATCAGAATACACATTCTTTTCAATGGCACAGAGGTCATTCTCAAAAATAGACCACACACTCGCTCATAAAACATATTTAAGTAAGGGCAAAAGAACTGAAGTTATCCCCTATTTATTATCACACCATAGTGTGATGAAATTTGAGATCAATAGCAAAAGAAACTTTAAGAATTTCATAAATGCATGGAAATTGAACAACACACTTCTGAACAACCAATGGGTCACAGAGGAAACTAAAAGAAAATCAGTTTCCACAATTAAATGACAATGCCAATACAATATATTGGAATCTATGAGACATGATGAAAGCAGTCTTACAAGGGAAATTCATAGCAGTGAATACTTGGTGACTGGAAAGACTTGCACAGGCTCACAAGCAACAGCAAGAGGCCCACCCACATACCATCAGTAAGTGGGCCCACATACCAACAAGAAGTTTGGATGGAGCAGAGCTGAGCATGGGTGCACAGGTCCATAGCAGTGAATACTCATATTGGGAAAACAGAGCAAGCTCAAATGTACAACCTGATGCTGAATCTCAAGCTTCAAGAAAAAGAAGAGCAGAACACACCCAAAGCTCATACAAGGGAGGAAATCATAAAGATCAGAGCAGAAATCAATGCAATAGAGACTAAAAGAACGAGGCCATACTCTTAAGTGAAATAAATAGGGTGCACATGTGTAAATACCGAATAGTTTCTCTAGTGTGAGAAACTGATAGTGTAAACAAGGGTTAAAATGATTAAAATGAATAACTGATAATTTGAAATAGGAAAAAAGGTCCAAAGATGAAGGAGTGAAGGGAGGGGAAGGGGAAAGGAAAAACTATGAGAAAAGAAAAAAAAGGAAATGAAATCTATGTAAATAGAGAAGGGTGGAGGGGGTGAAGGCCACACAGGTAATGGGGAAAAAAATAAGAACCAAGATATATCATGTACAGGTACAAACACCCAATGATAAATGTAAATGAATTGTATACCTAAAATGTACCAATAAAAGAACTAAAAAAAAAAAAGATACAAAAAAATCAATGAAACAAAGAGTTAGTTCTTCGAAAAAATAAACAAAATTGACAAACACTTAGCCAATCTAATCAAAAAGAAGGAAAGAAAAGGCCCAAATCCATGCAATTAGGAATGAAAAGGGGGAAATTACAATTGACCCTGCAAAAAGCCAGAGGATCATCAATACCTACTTTGAGAACCTATATGCCAATAAGATGGAAAACACAGAAGAAATGGGCAGATTTCTAGATACGTATAAAAGAGAAGTTGAAAGAAGTAGACCCAAAAATTCTAAGCAACCCAATATACATCAACAAAATTGAAAAGGTAATTAAAAACTTACCAACACTCATTCATGAAAAAAATAACCCTACAGAAAATTGGAATAGATTGTATTCATTTCAACCTAATAAAAGCCATCTATGAAAACCCAGCAGCCCATATCATACTGAATGGTGAACAACTGAAATCCTTCATGCTAAAATCAGGAACAAGACAAAGATGTCCACTATCACCGCTCCTGTTCAACATAGTTTTGGAAACATTAGCCAGACCAATTAGAGAAGACAAAAAAAAAAAAAGGAATAAAGATAGGAAACAAAGAAGTTAAATCAACATTATTTGCAGATGATGTGATATTTATACAGAAGGCCCTAAGAAGTCCACCAAAAGTCTTCTAGACTTAATAACCAAATTCAGTAAAGTATCTGGATACAAGGTCAACACACAAAAATCAATAGCTTTCCTAATCAAGAACAAGAGACTCACTGAGAGAGGAACTGGAGAAACAACTCCTTTCAAAATAGCATCCAGAAAAATCAAATACCTAGGAATCACTCTAACATAAGAAATAAGAGACCTCTACTCTGAAAACTATAGCATTCTGAAAAAAGAGATTGAAGAGGATATCCAAAAAGGCAAAAACATCCCTTGCTCCTGGGTTAGAAGAATCAACATAGTGAAAATGGCCATAACTTCTAAAACTGCTATATAAATTCAGTGCAATCCCAATTGAAATCTCAAAAGCATACTTCACAGAACTTGAGAAAACAATCCAAAAACTCATTTGGAACAAGAAGAGATCCAGAATAGCAAAAGAAATTCTAGGCAACAGAGACATGGCAGGGTGTATCACAATCCCCAACTTGCAACTATACTACAAAGCTACTGTGATAAAAATAGCATGGTCCTGGCAAAATAAAACAGACCTCAGGATGAGTGGAACAGATTAGAAGATGCAGAAACAACTGCAGACATACTCAGTCACCTCATCTTTGACAAGGGAGCCAAAAACCCTCACTGGAAGAGAGATACCGTCATATTAAATGGTGTTGGAAAAATTGGGTTTCAACTTGCCAAAGATTAAAGCTAGAACTATATCTCTGACCATGCACTAAACTAAAATCAAAATGGATTAAAGATCTAAATATTAAAACTGAAACACTAAACCAGCTGAAAGAGAGGTTAGGTAGAACTCTTGAAGACATTGGTATAGGAAAAGATTTTATGAAAAAAACCTCAGCTGTCCATGAACTAGCACAAACAATCAACAAGTTGGATCTCTTCTTATTAACAAGCTTCTGCACAGCAAGAGTAACCACCAACAGTCTGAAGAGACAACCCACAATGTGGGAAAAATTTTTCACCAGCTGTCCCTCAAATAAAGTTCTACTACCTAGAATAATAAAAAACTAAAAAATCAGAACTCCCAAATTTAAAGACCCAGTCAATGGACATCTGAAATGAACAGACATTTCTCAGACAAAGAAGTAGAAATGGCAAATAAACATATGAAAAAATGTTCAACATCACTGGTCATTTGAGAGATGCAAATGAAAACAATGCTGAGATTCCACTTCACTCCAGGAAGAATGGCTGCTATCAAGAAATCAACCAATAACAAATGTTGGCGGGGCTGTGGGGAAAGAGGAAACCCTCTCCACTGCTGGTAGGAGTGCAGACTGGTGCAATCACTGTGGAAATCAGTGCAGAGATACCTCAAGAAACTAGGACTAGAGGTCCCATTTGACCTAGGTCTTCACCTGCTGAGTATCTTCCCAAAAGAGCTAAAAGAATCATACCACAGTAATATATGTGCACCCATGTTCATAGTGCCACAGTTTGTAAGAGTGAAAACGTGGAAACAGCCCAGTTGCTCATCAACCAGAGACTGGATAAAGAAAATGTGTTTTTTTTATAAAATGGAGTACTACTCAGCCATAAAGAATGAGAAATTAGAGACATTTATAGATAAATGGACGCACATTGAGGTGATACTCTTAAGTGAAAATAGGACACAAGTGTAAATACTGAATAGTTTCTCTGTTTTCAGAAACTGAAAGTGTAAATGAGGATCAAAATGTATAATAGATAATGTGAAACAGGAAGAAAAGATACAAGGGGGAAGAGAAATCGGGAGGTCTAGGGGAAAGGAAAGTGGGAAAAAGAATAAATATGAGAAAAGAAAAAAATGGAAACCAAGTCTTTGTAAATAGGAAGGGTGGAGGGGATTGAAGGGAGGGCAGGGGAAAGGGAAAAAATAAGAACCAAGATACATCATGTACACGTACAAATTCCCAATAATGAATGTCAGCATATTGTATACCTAAAATGTACCAATAAAATTAATCAATTAAAAACTAGTAATAATTTTTTTAAAAGAGTGAACCTATTTCCACATCTAACCTAGCCCTTCTGTTGTGTTTATAGATTCACACTGGAAATCTTAGAATAATGTTTCCTGGCATTTTGAGATTTCCAAAAAGCTACTGATTTGGTTTTTTTCCCCCTCTGACATGAAGTCAGTTTAGTTCAATTCCATTAAATCCACCCACCTCTCTTCAAAGCCATCCTCATGTCTTGGACATCTGCAGTGTGTTCTGTGAAGGACGCTCTGGACTGTGAGCAAGAAACCAGTGCTCCTCCTATGCCCCAACAATAGGGGATTTATATTACGTGCTTAAATTTTTGAAAATTAAATACATTAAGGGAATTTTTAAAAAATCATTTTCTTTGACAATCTGAGATCCCATGAATCTTTCCCTTTCTCCTTGTTCCAGGTTTTACCTTTAACTTGTTAATATATATTATTTGAAATTTGGCTAGTAGGGACTTCATATTGAAATTATTGTGAAGCCCAAATGTTTGAAATTTCTTAAGAAGAGGGGAAAAGTGAGGTACTTACAAAATCCAAGAAGAGTTTTTTAGCAGTAAAGTACACGTAATGAGATGCAGCAACCATGGGTAGAAATAGGTTTGTATACAGCGGGGGGCATTCATTGCCACAGAGAGGATGGCAGGCCACGTCCTCACACAGGAGCAGGCTTGACATGAGCAGCAGCAGCAGGAGGGACCCTGTTTAAACCAAAACACAAGCCACTCCGAGATGGTCTGTTTAGCCCAAGTTATCAAAATCAGCCCTGAGGAAGAAAGCTTGATCTCTCCTTATGCCCTGGGATGCATGACTTGGCACTGTAATAGCTGATATGAGAGAAGAATCAACACCTTCTGCTGTGTACATTTAAATACAAAATCGTATTTGCAGACACACTGTTTGAGAGGTGGGTAAGTTCCTCCATTTTTAATCACTCCTGAAAAGTGCTGCTGAGACAGATGAGAAGGCCCGACTCTCATTTTTCACCTACTGGAGAAAGGGTGTGTCTTGTCCCACAGCTGTCTACACTCCTTTGCTCCCCTGTCTTCCTGGCTATCAAATTGCCGTTCTCTGCTCCAACATGAGTGCAGCCAGCAGTGTGGTGTCCCTGACTCCCACCACCTCAGTCAGAACCATTGCATTTTGAGAGCAGAGCGGGCACCTTGGAGTGGCTGAGATCGGGAAGGGAGGGATCCAGGCCCTTTATTTGCATGCCCAACACTCACAGCAGCCTTCCAGAAGATCCCAGGTTCGGCCCTCACCCCACAGACACAGGCCTGCAAGCTGCTTACTAAGCAGCACTTCCCAGGCCCTGCTCTGGTCCTAGGCTATCAGAGCTCCCTCCTGAGGGCTGCCCTGCTCTGCTGCAGCACAACCCTGTTACAAATAAGACTCACTTTAGTGTCCTATTTTTTTCTTGAATAATTCATGAGCTCAAATCTTGTGGGCTCCAAAAGTCCTGTAAATCTACTTGGGATTTTTATTCTAGTGTATGCAAAGAGTGGCTGGTTTCCCAAAAAAGGTGAATAAACACCCAGAGTTATGAACACCAAAGATTTCCAGAGACCAACAGCCAATAAAGACAAGCAGCAAGGACCCAGCATCTGCTAGAGTTGACCTACAGTGTCCAGCACATGTTGGACTCTCAGTGACAGCCAGCAACAGCAGTGACCAGCAGCTCGCTTGTCCACTGCTGGTATCCAGCGTCACTGGTGACATCAGCACTTCCAGCTGAGCTGCACTTTGTCAATTCATAATTTCCCTCTGAAACATGCAAAAGAACCCTAGGCTGATTTGTAATGCTTCTGTATTTCACAAATATTTGGATTTTAAATTAAGTCTGATCAACGGTGCTTAAGCCATTCTCTTAACATAGTTTTTTCTCTTGGGGATTTCTGTAGATTTCCAGCAGTCAGATTCTCTGGGAGACTGTGAATTTTGAGTGTACTATCTGGTATTTTGATTCTGCACACTCATATGCCAAGAACACCACAGTTTGCTCTATCTTCACGTTTGATAAAATGCAAACACGTTCTTGCTTGGTTGGTAGTACTCTGAAGGAAACACTATCATAAAGGCTGTGCCATGGCCCAGACTTGCTAACTCAGCATTATCATCCATGTATTTTCTTGACACTTTGCAAAACCATTAGTTTTTTTTCTAAATTTGAGCTTTGGGTTGACCCTAGGAAATAAGCTGGGCCTTTGAAATCATCTGATTATACTGATGAATCACATGGTTTGCAGTAGTTACGGGATTTACTCCAAGTCCTGTGATTGGCAGGTGGGGAGCAGAACACGAGTGCTGTGGTCCTCGCCTCTCACCTGCTCACTCTGCGCTCACCTGTGGGTTCTCAGCTGCATCTGTGCAGCAGGGACCCCAGCAGCGGCCGTGGACACAGTGTACACAGAGCTTCTTGCTGTCACTTGGAAGAATGACTCTGTGGCTTGGGTGTTGGATAACAGGGACCCTCAGAAGTTTGAGTTTATGCACTTTCTTTGCTCTGTAAAACTCCCACATCAAAATCTTTGTCAGTGATCAGAGTTGGTTACATCAATTTTGTATTTCAGTAGTTGAAAAATATAGACCTCCAACCTATCAATAATTTATACTCATAAAAATCAAAGAAACAGAATGTCACTACCCAGTTAAAATCAAATTTTACCTTCATTGACGCTATTCCAGAATAATTCCTGACATAAAAATGTGATATGAGATTAGTTTCCACAGTATTTTTGATAAATGTGATTGGAAATCTCCAAGATGAAACTAGACAAATATTAAAGTTATATATATGAAGAAACCTAAAAAATGTCTAACATGAACATACCTTTATTTTAGAAATATTTAAATAACATTTTAGTGTAAAATTAAAACAATAAGGTATAATTACTTTATATACTTATTTTTCCAAATACATAATGATTCAAAAAATTGAATTTATGGATGTCATAGTAAAATAATTTAGCCAAAGGGTATTTTATGTATATGAGTAAAGAAAATGTACTTTGCATGTAGAGGAATTGGGAGAGCTCTCTGGGAAATCCACAACTGGATACATATTAACTCTGAACAAATTTACCTGCACATCTGTCATCTGAAAGATTTTTGCAGTCTAAAATAATGTAAAATAGACAAATATTATTGTTCTATACATCAAAAAATTTATAGTCATTACTAGTTTACCTTTTTTGCAAATGTCACCAAGAAAGTAAAGATGATTTGTTAGCACTAGCCTTTTTTTTCTTTTAAACAGTCATTTTCCTTGAACTAAACCAACATTGCCTGAATTAAAAGTTTCATTAGGTTCATTCAAGGTAGCCAATTCATGTACTAGACCAGAGAATCAGAAAATATTAGTTTAGGCCTTCTGGAGTTGTGACAAATTGGACCCATAGATATTATGGTCTTATTGTACCCTAGAATTTCTCTGTCAGTACTTTTGGCTTCTTAAGCTAAATAATTCCTTGTACTTGGATCTGTTCTATGCATTGAAGAATGCTTAAGCAGACCATATTGTCTTTCAAGTAGGCACCTCTAGCACATTCCCATACTGTCAAACCTCCAGTGAGACAATGCAAAATTCCCCAACTTTTGCCAAATGTCCAGAACAAGAAAGATTCCAGCATTAAGCATCTCTGAAACACTACTGTTCCCTGTGCCATTGTTTTCCAGAACAATAATTAGTTCTTTTAAAACCTACGAATCAGAAGTCTCTTTTCATTAATCCGCACCAGAGTACTGATGAAACCAAAAACTCACTGAACTGTGCACATACCTTTCCCCTTGCCTTCCACAGTGACGATCATGACGGGAAACACACTCCACCAACGAAGGACTGGCCAGTCGTCCCGCGTCCAAGCTCAACTGTTGGTTTATAGACCTTTGACATTTTGTGAATATAATAGTCAGGCATTCTCTTTCCTCATTCCAGCCCACTTCTTCTATCATTGAGATTACCCCATAATTTCAAATATTTAATCTTATTTTACTTCTTAGTTATATTCAGGAAGACATAGTGGCCATAACTGAAGGATTTTATTTAATGAGACTAAAGGAAATAAAAGATATAATGAAGGTGAGACCCAAGACTAGCTTGGATTAGACAATCTGGAAGTCTACTTGAGTCATTTACTTTGAACTTAATTTTTATTTCTCTACACTTTCTTAAGTATGTAGCATTGTATTTCAGTAGCCTCATGTATTATCAATTATAAAATTTCTTATTAAAGATCGTAGGTGAATTACAAGTTTCAAAATGTGTTAACTAAAGATATAGAATAAGGATTAATAAGAGGATATTTTGTTGCCTGGTATGTACTGATTGATTATATTTTCCTCAATTTCTCTTTGCACTTTCACCTTCTATTTTATTCCTTTTTAAATAACATATCTTTATTGTACCTTGTTTTATAATATGTATTTTATCTTCTTATTGCTCTTGATTTTAACATACACAGCAATTTGTATTATTATCCCCAGTTTACCCACTTGCAGAAACTAAACACAAAGAAATAGAAGTATTCCTCCATAGTCAGTTTAGATGCAGGAAGGATCACTACTTCAAGAGGAATCGGGAGGGAGGTTAAGGAGGCCCCAAAACAAGTGAAAGATTTCACCATTGACCTTAGGTAGTTTACTTTAGCCAAAAAAAGAAAGAAGGAAGGAAGGAAAGAAAAAAATCAGTTGTTCTTGAGAGCAAACACACACTACCACACACATACTCACACATACCTTGCAATGATACAATAAAACAAGATTCTAGCCAATTATCTCTACTATTCTTAAAGATATAGGTCAATAAACTGCAATTAACTTATGATCGATTTGACTTCACTCTGAGAAAAGTTGAAAAATTCAGCTTTCATGGAATCAGAAGTTCCATTCACCTCTTTGACCTAAGTGACATGATTATAATGAATAGGAATGAAATTGGTGATCACTTTCTCTAATTTTGAGGTCCATACATCTAAAGCAGGATGTGACTTTTAATTTCAACTTTACTTTCTTAAAGTAGAGAGACAAATGGGGTGACTTTAACAAATAATTCTACAATGGCATTTCTTTTTCCAATAGTAGCTAGTACAACATTTGTACTTTAGTAATGATCTGATCAGAAATTTTAAGCAAAACTAGCATCTTTTAGAATTGGTCTTCTAATTGTTGTAGCTTAAGCATTGTTCTATTTTGAATCATCAATATTAAGAGTGGTGATTCACTGGTTCTGTACATCCAGAACCTGGGTCAGTGTCCCATCCACTCCTACTGTCTGCTTTCTCCCTGGACAATGAAAGTCAGAGTTACTAAGAAAGCAGACCTTGGTGGTGGAGAAACTGATACTGTGCTACATTTCCTGCTTCTCATAGAAATTAAAAAGTAAGAAAATCTGCCATAAAAAAACTGCCATTTACACCTCCTCTTCAATTTTAAAGTTGTTGGAACTTTTGTAGAAAGGCAGGATAAGAGTTGGGTGTATTCAGTGCAGGTCTATTGATTTATTGAACTGCAAGGAGTTAAGTTTCTCAGTAAAATTATACAAAGCCATGTTGCTGCTCTGCAGTTCCATGTTCCCTTCAAGCAGGGTACTTTGACATCTAGACAGGACAAAAGGCATATTTTATGCAAAAATTTGTACTTGTCCTATGTCACTGCTTTAATTTTAATACTTGTGTGTCCCTTTTCTCTTTATCAAAATGTGCTCTTAAATTAGAAAAATAAAGAAAATCACAAAGAATGGCCTTGGCTGCTTTTATGGTGAAAACTCCAATTTTTTATCAATTTACTCTGATGGCTTGTAATTAAATTGAGAGCTGGTAACTAATTTCTGCCAAGTAGATGAATGAACAGCCAAAATGATTTGCAGGCTGTTTAGTATATGAAACTATTAAGCAATTTGGTCATCTTTTATTAAAGGACCCTAATTCTTAATATTAAATGGCATTAAATTGGTTTTCATTCCTAGTTAGAAATAGAGCTTTTATTTCTATTTTGTTTCATTTATTTATTTTAAGGTTTGGAATATTTTGAATTTTTCTCTGGAATTCATGACACAGCATATGTAAAAAGCATCTCATATGCAAAAAGCATTTTATTTGAAATGTATCTACTCTAAGATACAGTACAGGTTGTTAAAGGGTTAAAGAATAAAAGTTTAAGAAAGTCTTCAAAGCAAATGCATCACAAGGTATTTCAATTTATATTAGCAGTATATTATCTTTAATAATGTTAAATTTGCAAATTATGAAATGCATGCTATTTATGTATTCAAAAGTCCAAATAATCATTTTCCAGAACTAGGACTGAAAATTAAAATAGAATACTTGTTCTTCAACAAAACATATCAGAAAATGTAAAGAACACATTAGATGAAGCTTCAATGGCACAATCTTAAATGTATCATTTTGTGACTTCATGCATATTGACATGGTTTTCTTCCTAAACTGTCATGCTTATTCCTTGTTTTTTGCTAGTGTTTTGGAGATCATCCGTCTCTGTGACTTCAGGACCCAAGTTCATAATCGGTTTGAGAGCCTTGAGAGCATTTTCTCTTTAAGTAGAAAATTCACAGTGGAAGCTTTTGAAAAGGTCTCCGAAATTCCTATTTGGCTCCAACTTTAATATGTCTTTAGAAAGCACATCCTTGACAGGAATTACTGGGTCCAAGGATGCAGGGGACTACAATATTAATTATGCCCAAAGCAGGCTAATAAAGAGTTAACTCCTCAACTGGATTGTTTTGAGAAACAAGTCTGGCTGGCTGCAGCCTGTGTGCCAAGGTCAAAGTGACTCGCACTCAAATTCTGTTTCCACAACTAAAACCTTCTTGACTAGAAGGACAAGGATTTAATTATAACCATTATTTTCTCTATTCTGTTTCAATTTGAGAATGCTTTGTCTTGTCCTTCACAAGCCTTGCTTGCGTTAGTATCCATAGTAACTGCATTACTTCAGGTCCTCGAACCAGTTCCCCTTTAGCACATAGTTCACTTTTACCCCAGTTGATTACCAATTAAAATCAGTGGCTTGGACTGACTTTAGCCTTCACTGGATGAGCGGCATTGGTCTTCCTGGCTCCCTGGTTTCTCTGTCTCTTTAGTTATGGCTTTTAATTTTTTTCTCAGCCTTGTGCCATAGGAGATTGGAACCTACTGCAGAGGTCTCTGATACAGGGACATGAACACCTTTGAGAGTTTTGAATCATCATAATTTTCTTTTTTAATTTATAGATCTGTGTTTGACATTTATAACCCCTGGAGATTCACTTAGTTACAACCCTTACAATTCTGAGCAGGTACAAGCATAGTGTCTCACTCAGATTCTGAGCCCTCAAATCTCTTCTTTCTTATTCCAGAAACTTTCAGTATTACAGCCAGGACTCTTTCAGGGACTCCTCTGGTCTCATTGATGCACAGTCATAAAATATGGAAAAGTTAACTTGTGTGAACAGGGAGAGCTGATAAATTTTATATTTCAAAATTTCAATTAGAATAAGCGCCTCTTAACAGAATACAAAAGTGTAGGTGTAGATCAGGGTACCAGTGATCCCCAAACTGATAGGATGTAATTTTTAACTGCTCAGTTTCACATGCACATATCGGGTAGCAGGAGAAGAACTGGAGCAGTCTGGATAAATCAGGGTCCTTAAGAGGGCTGTGTGCAAACCAGTACTGATCTGTACTGAGAAGAATTTTCATAGCATAACAGTTCATAAAGCTATACTTGTGCTGAAACACTACTGCACCTGCCTTCCTCATCTGCTCAAGTTTTGCGTAGCTTGAAAGAATTCAGATTTAGAAGTAGAACAAGTTTTTGGAAGAACTACTACCTCAAATACATACCTGTATATATTTTACCCTATGCTACATTTCTGTATTACAATTTGTCTAAAATATCTTTGCCAACACATAACGATTTATCTTGTTTACTTATTTAGTCAAAAAATGTTACCTGTCTTATTAATGCAATATATACTTCTACAGTTAAGAAGTCCCTACAGTGATAACTGGTTAGCTAAGTTCCTATTCATTTGCAGTAAATGGACATTTTTTAAAAATTTAATGATGATGTTATGATCTCCTTGCCAAAAAATAAAATATTTAGTGATAGTCTTTTGAATGATAAGGGAAAGAAAAATTTTCAAGGCAGTAAGAAAGAACCCTGAGGTAAAGCAGATCACAGGATGTCAGCTTTCCCTGATTATAACAAAATGAATAGAAATTAAGCTTTTTAAATAAGCTTTAAAAATCACAGCAAAAGTGACAAAAGGTGGAAGTAAGTATGATCATATTAACTTTTTATAGATTCTATCTGGGATTCAACCAATGTCAAGTTAAACTGCTATTATAACCCTATTAATTAGGGGTCTGTAGAGGAACAAGTTCAATAGAATATATATTAAACACACATACACACTATAGAAGAAACAATTATGGTCGCCACTTGATTAAGCTTATGATAATTTACCATAAATCTCCAAGATCCATCGATCTTCTTCCAAGCCTAAATATATTGTTTTGTTAACATTATTAGGTAGAGATAGAAGATAGGGCTTAAATTAGATTTAGAGCCAGGAGAGACCACAATGACAGTCTGTGTTGGAGCCAGAGGATCCAGTACCTGATCTGATCAGTCCAAGAAGCTGGAAGTCACAAAACAAGACAGATTTCAAAAATTTAAAAATTAATACCAGTCCTTTACCAAAAGTGTGGACACTCCCTGAAGAGTCTCAGTTGTGAGTCTACGTTGGGTGGCTGAAGAAACTGGAGCTTCCAAACACTGCAACAGACCTCCTCTCTGTTTCTCTTTTATTCTCCTCAAGCTACAAGCTTATTGGATGGTCCCACTCACAATCAGGGTGTGTCTTCTCTGCTCAGTAATCAGCAATCATATCTGGAAATACCCCCCAGGACATACCCAGAAGTGAGCTTTACTATAGAACTATCCTTCATAGAACTGGGAACATATTAACTCTTTCCTCATTATGAGAGGCAAAATTTCCATTGAGTTATGCATACTATTCTTGTAACATTAATAACTTATTGCATACATTTAATAATATTTATCTAGTGATACAAAGTTAATTGATGTTATTTTATATAGTGTAGGAATACAAAGCATGCAAAGATATATATGTTCTCAGCAAGCATCTTAACATGTCTTGGTATTTTCACCTGGTGGAATAACCAATATCTTCATTCCTGAAGGATCTGGGCAAGTTCTCATTCTGCCTGGATTTGGTTGTTGTACTTTCCCGTTGACCTTAACAAGAAGCCACAATAATACCAGGAGATGCCTTAAGAGATCTTCTGCACTTCAAACATACTCTTCCTTGCCTCCACTGTGAAGGACTAGTCCAAATTCTCCTTGGCAATCTGGATAAATCACCTCCAAGACCACCATAACTTCCTATGTAGCCTATTGGCTAAGAAAAAGGAGGGTCCCAAAATGGCCGTGAGGAATTTTCAGATTCTAGTTTGATGGAATCATTGTTGTTCTTGTCCCTTTCTGGAACTGACTTCTAGAACCGCAGAGCATAAAGTCACAGGATCAGAAATAAAATTGCTAGTTGGTCCTGAAAGATAATGGGGACTTGTACCATTTCAATTTCCACCCATTAATTCCTGGGATCCAGAAACCCAGCACTGGGAGAAATAGTACTATATATTGGATACTGATTAAGAGCATACTTTGCCTCACTCAAATGAGAGATACCATATGGTATTTAAGCTTGTGTTTCTGGTTTATTTCACTCAACATTGTATTTTCCAGGTGCTTCTAAACAAAGAGAATAATAAAGGATGGATAGAAGAGGGACAAGGAGATGGATCTCTCGTGATAGGGAAATTGTCCAAGGGAACAAGGGCAAGGGGTGAAGAGGAAGGGAGGGGAACTAAGTAGAATAGACGTCTGCCATGCACATGAATCTAATAACCTCAGTGAATGTAAACATTATATACCGTAACAAGAGCTAAGATTAATAGCATCAACAGAAATGAAAATCAGGATGGGGGAATTAGAGGAGGAAGGAGGGAAGGGTGAGGGAAGCAGAAGGAGATTAAAAAAGGAAACAAGCTGTAGTATGTACATCCACCCATTCCCCCAAAAGATTGTAAGCTGCATGCACTGCAAACATGCACTAATAAAAACTCTAAACGTATATAAGCAGTGAACCCTTGACTTCAGAACTTAATTCACTCCTGAGGGCTGGTTCTAACTCAAGTTGGTCAGTTGCCTTCCAAGTCTCTCTCCTGTATAATTTTAGGCCACACTTTCTTCCAGGAAGATCTCAGTGTCCTTAGAGAGACATTGGGCCAGGATTTCGCAAATAATCCCACACAGGAAAGGATGTTGTAATGTTCCTTCCAGAACTCTTAAAGGATTAAGAGACCATCTTGAAGCACAAGCAGCAAGCATTTGGGTCATAACTCAAGACTTTGGTCATAAGTTAAAAATAAAATTTTGGCTATAACCCAAGTTGTTCATATGTCAGGCTGGTTGTAACTCGAGAGTCCATTGTACAGCCTTCTGGAAAACTTTAACCTAGCCCTCTAAGATATTGCCACCTAGTAGCACTGTAGTTACATCATGAAAAGACAATTTCATCATTTTATCAATTCAGCTGCTTCTGGATGATGGGAAACATGTTAAGACCAGTGAATTCCATGAGCCTGAACTCATGGCCATACTTCTTTGACCTTGAACTGTTCCCTCATGTCTAAAGCATAGTTGTAGGCAATACCATGATGATGATGGATGAGCCCTTCTATAAGTCCACGGAAGTTAGCGTGACAGAAAAATTACATTCAGGGAAGCCAAATCTATACCCAGAGTGTGTCTATTTCAGTAAGACAAAGTACTGCTACTTCCATGGTGAAAACAGTGAAATATAATCACTGTGTCCAGAGAGCAGGCTGATCACTATGGGGAATGTTGCCACAGCACGTTTCCAGCATCTATTTTGGTGCTGGTAGGTTGTGCACCCAGCAGTGGCTCTAGCCAAGTCAGCCTTGGTGAGCTGCACCCCAGGTGCCATGAAATGTGTTGATGTGGTCAAGGAAAGAAACCACATCTGGTGTAGAAGCAACAGTTATCATCAGCACTTGCTTAGTTCTCCAAGACAGCACAGTTCTCCAAGACCCACCTGTCTTCTTCCCAGGTAAGCAGAGAGTTAAATATTCTTCCATTGACCCCATCACCCAGCATCTTTCGAGCTCTTGGTGGTGATAAACTAGGCCCTCCTTTAAGAAATGCAATACAGTTTGATTTACTATTTTACGAAAAAGAGGCAATTCTAACTGCTTCTGTTTGACCTTTCCCACTCCACAGGATAGAAGGCCAAAGTGGGAATTCTGTAGAATACTAATTTGATATATACTAATTGAGCTATCTGAGCCTGGAGAAATAATCAGAGAATGTACTTGGAGACCACTGTGAGCTTAACCTTGGCTAAAAGTCTGTTGATCATCTTATTCCCTAGGCCCTTAGCTTTATGAAGAGCCACTCATGTTTTGGACCTGCTGAATCAGTTTTAGTTCAAATTCAGTGTTCAGTAGGCCTTGAAATATTTATTTTCTCTTCTACAGTGTGCAGTTACCTTGGTCAAAGGTCATGTGTCCCTTTAGGGAAGAGTGCAAGGAGGACTAACAGTGTAAAATTTTGGTAGTGCACCAGGGTCACTCCTAAAGGCTACCTGACATCCCTTTCATGCAAGGTGTTCTGGGTCTATAAGCCGGCTCCAGTCAGGGAATTGTTTAAGTTGTTGTGGTTCTCTATAGTTATGGTTTGAGGTGTATTTGTTTATTTGCCCTGAAATATTTCTACTTACATAATTTCAATAAAAATTTAGTAGGCTTTCTATCTATTTCACTTGTGGGAGCACTATAATTAGCTACTGTCGAAGGTCTGAATAAGTCTACATAAGTCACAGTTTCCACCATTGCTTAGATTCTTCTGTTCATTTGAATCTTTGAGCGTTACTTCTGTTTGTTACCTTGTTCAGAGATGTTATGTGCAACAAGCCAACATAATCATGTTACTTAGTATTCTTAATATGCTCAAAATTATTGTGCATAGAGTCACTAAATTCCTTGCATTTCATAAATAGGGAACTCAGATAATCTATTGGATTAATATTACATATTTTTTAAGTCTACACTTCAGACTATCAGTAGTGTCTATATTACAAGGAGGAGAAACTGTCATAACTATAATTTTCATCAAATTATAAAGCCAAATGCAGAAAGCACTAAATCAATTAGTGGAATTTATCCTCACATTTCTGTTTTACATACCATTTCTGATATCAGATTATATATTGTAAAATTTCTCTCCAGGAACTAAATTGATATAGAAAAATAAATTTATATCTATATAGTTCTGTAAGTATTTATTAAGCAAACTTAAAGGATAAGAGAGAGGAGAATCAACAATGGTCATCTTCATGTTAAAGACCCTGAGGATTCACTAGCTACTCAGATCAAGAAGCTGGAATTTGCAGGACAGGAGGAATTAAGGAAACTGCACCAATCTGGGGTTGAAGGCCTGAAAACCCCACGGAGCATTGCCGGTATGACTCTGTGTTGGAAGACTGGAGAAGCATAGGTGACTTCAGCACCAAATCATTCACCCGTTTAAGTAGAAGAGAGCTTTTTTAAGGCATCAACTTCTTACTTTTCTTGTTATTCCATCAAGGCTACTATTCTATTTGACGGTGCCACCCACAATCAGGGTGAATTGAATTCTTCCCTTAGTTTTCTGGACTACATCTTAATCATCACTAGCAACACCCCACAAACAGACCCAAAAGTATGCTTTACTAATCTGCCTGGTTAATTAGTTTCTTAATTAGTCAAGTTCATATATAATAATTAAGAGATGATAATTGTGAGAAAATAGAAAATGTATTGGAATCTTTTAACTTGTACACAGGAAACTGATACACACAAATACTAGATATTCCATTTAGCAAAACATAAAGTAAAATGAGGAAAATATAAATGGCAAAAACATATAATTTAGTGTTCAAACCAGACCAAACATGCTGTGGGATGAATTTGGTTATTTGAAAATGACTCATTTTCTCTGCCAAGACTAAGCCTCAAATTACAATTTTCGTATTCAAGAGACAAAAATCAGAAGAGAAAAGAGATGTCTTTCATGCTCATACTCAGTTCATAGTTGAGACTCTTACATCGCAAAACAGGTCAAAAAATTTTAAAAGCATACAAATTAGCTTCGTATGAATTTAACACGACGTGACAACTTCATAAATAAAAACTCAAAGAAACACAAGGAGTATCGTGTATTTTATGCTTATGTGTAAGGAAGAGTGGAAAATTGTGTATAAGTGTGATTATACAAAAGGTAGTTTGAGCTAAGGAACTGAAATGATGGAAAACTTAAAAGTTCTATCTGAATTCTCTTCCTCCTCTTCCTTCTTGTTCTTCTTATTCTTATTCTGATCCTTCTTCTCTTTCTCCTATATTCTTCCAGTACTTCTGATTGATAACATGGACTTTGAACTGAATTACATCCCCAATCATTTCTATTTTATTTTCTGTTGAAGCCACTAAGTTACCTGATCTGTGTTTGAACTTGTGTTGCTAATTCCTCAGCCTCCCACACTACTGGTATTACAGTAGTGCTCTACCACAACCATTTTTCACATTCTTCTTGGTGTCTCTGTGTCTTTGAGGACAAGTATGCTTTTTTTCTAATGGGTAGCTCTAGAATTGAGAGAATCTCTGGAATTGAGGATCTCATAACCAACTTTGGAGGAAGTGTAAATAAGGAC